CTCACTCTCGGCTCTTCTAGAGAAGTGAACTCTGATTTTTGATTATTATAAAGTGAAAGTTGAGAGTTGAGGTATGAAAGGCTCATGTTTGACCCTTGTGGTGGTGCTGAATTTGAAATAAAGAAATATGAAAATTCTATTTCAGGCTCACCCAAAGTTGCAATTGAGCTCTAAAATTATTTTATTCTGAATTCTATCCAAAAAAGGCCTGTGTTTCTCAATTTTCCTATCTCAATTTTTGGTTATTGCCTACTCTTGAATTTGTCGAAATAAAGAAAATTGAAGAGCCTGGAATAGAAAGGACATGAATGTCTACTTATCTACCAATTTTTTTCTTGCGCATTTCTCCTCTATTTCTCAATTTTTCTAACTCAATTTTTGTCTATTCCGTGCTTTTGAATTTTCGTTTACTTCTAAATTTTTATAGTTTGGAATAGAAACAGGACACTTCATGTCTAGTAATTTTTAGTCAATTCTTTTTGAATTTCTATTCTCTATTTCTCAATTTCATGTTCACTTTGGCCTTATACGGAAACACTGATCCGATTAACCCGATCACCAGCTGATGTGTTTTATTTTACTTAAATACTACATTTTCCACTTATCCAGCTCGAAGGATCACAGATATATATATATAAATGCTTTGATTTGCTTAAGTAATATCTATTATACCTACCTAACTACTTTTCAATATCAATTCTAACACAAGGTTCTTTGAGAGAGGTAGGTTGCTTGATAACTTTTATGACGTCATCTGGGGTGTTTTAACAAAATGTGCAAATCTCCATAAAGCACCCCAGATGACGTTATCAAGTTACCTCATACCAGACAACCTATTCATCAAGTTACCCCTTAACAGACAACCTATTAACTTTAGTACCTAACCTTGATTCTTACATGCATATTTTTATGAAATATTGTATCTGAGAGTAATCTTTGAATTTTTTATCTTCAATCCACTTCTGGTTGTCGCCTTGTACAATGAGCATGTGCCAAATAATGTGAGAACATGAGGATTATGGAACGATGGCTCAAATCGAAAAAAAATTGGAAAATTAGTACCCAACCTAAAAAAAAACTCGATTCATTTCAACGCAATATCACAAATCAACATTCTGATTTGATTGCACTCAGAGCACACAGCACACCTTATTTGACAGTTGACGCTTAAAGCACTGCTTATATCTGTCACCTGTCAAAAAAGTGCTCATTGGGTGCAATCAAATCGAAATTACCATATAATAATTTCACTTTGAACTTATAAGGAAACACTGATCCGATTAACCCGATCACCAGTTGGTGATTTGTCTTTTTTCAATCGTGTTCATTAAAGAAAGTAAAAAAACAAACAGCCGGTGATCGGGTTAATCCGATCAGTGTTTACGTAAGGGCCTTTCAATAGGGCAACTTTTTTCTCTCAAGCGGATAATTTTGTTAAATTTGACATTCGATGTTTCGTATTCTAGTGGCCATCATCACCCTGATTTTTTAAACATGGACCTTGGCTGTTATGTTTTCTTTTGACCTGGTTTCTCAATAGCGAGTCACCTTCGGGTTGGTTTTAACTCCAGGATAAGCGTGTCCACTTGCTATGTTTACCCTGGAACTTTATTCTCGAAACAGGGGAACAACGTTCTCATGAGAACGAAGGTTCTGTCTTTGTCGACCGTATTCATCTTCCATAACACTGACAATGACAGAGCAATCGTTCTCATGAGAACGCTGTTCCTCGGTTTCGAGAATAAAGTTCCTAGAGTTATGCTTAACCCGTGGGTGACTCGCTATTGAGAAATCGGCCCTCAAACTAACTAAAAATTCGTTTTAATATTCAGGTCTGTATTTAAAACAAATAACCTCATGATGATTTAAAAAGAACGAAATGGATTTAAAATTTGTATACCATTTTATTTAGGCTTATGAACGGTTTTTCTATATGTGTTTCCATTTTGTTTTTTTTTTTGTTTTTTGCATCTGGTCCTACTTAGAAATTTGATTTTTACCTATGAGTTTTACTTCCACCCTCGTATACCTACTAATGACATGAAGGGATCGAAACGATATATCAAAATATCGATAGGTATACATATAACTCAAATATTTTAATCTATATTTAACATTTGATATTTCGAAAAAATATTCATATAATCTTTTCGATACATCGGAAATTTTATTGATAATGTTTGCGCTCGTGCCCATTATTCATTGGTTGACAGTGACAATATGACAGTGACAGTATGACAGTTCACAGTGGAGGCTTAAATATGGCGTTTATCCAAAACAGGGACATTCCGCACGAGTTAGGAACGCTATTTTTCTACGAGTGTGCAGAACAGTACTTTTTCGCACGCATTCTAAGACATGAAAGTACCAGAGTGACCTAATTTTGCATGGATATTTTAGTTTTCCGCACTAGAGGTACTATAATGGCCTAAAACCCTCTTTTAATCTTAAATACAAATACATACACATTAAAAAATAATCTTCTATTTAACAGACCACACATTCAAAACATCATGCATAACCCTGATAGGAGTATATCGAATGTATTTTAGAATCACCCTCATAGCCATGTTCTGTATTTTTTGGATCTGCTCCACCGTGAAAGCAGGCAATGCATACAAAACTGTAAATGAGGTAGTGCAATGATATTATACAATAACATCTTTGTGCCAATTGAAAAACTATTTCCCACCCTTGAAAGAAAATCAACTTTTTTGAAAAAAATTCTCATAACATAGTCAGCATGAGCCTGGAAATTTAAATTTGAATCCAAAATTATCCTCAAGTAGGTACTTAATTGATTTGGTTTTCATGTGCCAAAGCTCCATTATTTATGCTGATGTTTATGTTATCTACATCAATACCTATCCTTTATTCTTGATCTTTTATCAAACACGCAAAACTTGGATCTCTCAACGTTGATGCAAAGAGTGTTATCATAGAGCCACCCATATAATGTATTCATAATCTGTTGTAATTGGTTCACATCTCTGCCAACAACGTACATTGTGTCATCCGCAAATAAAACAATTTCACTTTTACTCAACACACTACCTATATCATTTATATATAGTAAAAACAGCAATGAAGCCAAAATAGTTCCCTGAGGTACACCATAGTTTACATTCAATCTATCAGACACACTATTCTTAAATTTAACACATTGAACTCTAAATAAAGACCTAAACCAACTCAGAACAGTACTCTCAACTCCTATATTTTCCAATTTTTTCAACAATCACAGATGCTCACAATAGCGATCTCACAAGAGTGTTTTTCACGAAAACCTGACTGATTTGAGACCAATATCTGGTTTCTATCACAGTGTTGTAGCTGTTGGAGCTGCTCCTTCACTACCATTTCCAGAAGTTTTTCATATACAGTTACAGTGTTTATAAATCTAAACTCTTTATGCTGTTTTGTATTGTTTATCTCGAGTACTGGGACGACCATTGATTCCTTTTATAATATGACTCAGGAAATACACCACTTGATAGAGAGGTATTAATCGTGTTAAGAATTCGATCACCAATGACATAGCTGAGCACTTATTCGGAAATGCCACTCTCAGGATTTCTTTCAATTTCCTCATAGATATTCTCTGAAACTGAGTAAAGGCACCAGGCGTAATGTGATGTTGATGTGTGATAGCAGAATTAGCACCCCTGGTTTTTGGCAGATTGCCAATTAGTTCAGAAATACTACCTACTGATAAAAAATTTATTGAATTCTGTGTCAATTTCCATTTCATCTACCCAAATTAAGCTGTCAAATACAACCTCTTTAGGAGAATGGTGGTTCTTTCCAGAAAGCAATGTTTTAAGGTTTTTCAACAATTCTCTTGGGTTATGTCTATCGGCTTATCTTAAAATTGGAGGTAAGCACAAAAGGGATTTAAATGTGTCGAAAACTTCTTTTTGCTCATGGCCCCATGTCCAGTTGTTTTTTTTTTTTGTCAGGGCTTTTTTTTTCTTAAGGGCTTGGAAATATGAGCAAAGTTTTCTATGAAACGTCTGTACCACAAGTTTGCAGGAAACTTAGAAACTGTTTCACATTATTTGGATGTGGCATGTTGAGAATGGCAGCTACTTTTTCTTCATTTGGCGAGATGCCTTCGGAAGAAATTATGTGACCAAGGTAGTATACCGTTTCACATACAAATGAGCACTTTTCACGATTCAACGTGAGTTTATATAAGATCAGTCGTTTAAACACTTTGCGAAGGTCTTCAGTATGTTCTTCAAAACTGGAATGAATGATGATTAAATCGTCAGGGCAGGCCAAAATGAAGACTTCTTGCAGGCCTGATCTGAAGCGATCAAGCTGAAAGGTAGATGGCGCATTTCGAAGACCAAAAGGTATGCGTGCATACCTAAATGTACCAAAAGACGTCACAAAAACGGTTTTGTCTCTATCAGTCACTTTGATTCCCTCTTGATAGTATTTCTCCTTTTTAATCCTAATCTAGCTTCTACAACTTCTTTTTTTTTCATCTTATACCTACTCATTCCAAACAATATCATTCCTTACAATAACTAGCTCTCCTATACAATGCAACCTTTTCCTTCATTATTTCCCTTACTCCATGTGTAATCCAGTGCAGAAGTACCTACATTGATAAGTTCTGCTTGATACTTATTTTTGTTCTTGGGCACATGACTTCTAATATGTTTGTTATACTTTGTACAAATGAATCTGCCAATATGTTAACATCGGTTACATTGTTGTTTAATGCCGTGTTATAGAGGGTGTCCTGGAAATTTTCCACGTTATAATTCCTCAATTATCTCTTCCAAATCCACGTGATCGGCCCTATAACTTCGAATGGAAGATCATCTGTCATTAGTGTTATCTTTGCTAGCTAGCGGAGAAGTAATCAAACTCTATTATGATCCACCGGAATACCAAAAATAATACTTTAATTGTGTTTGTGTATAAAATGTCTATTTCAGCTCGTACTAGTATCGTATTAAAAACAATCTTTTATCTGTTTGTTCCAGGCGAAAAACCATTCAAATGCGAATTCGAAGGCTGTGACAGACGTTTCGCCAACAGTTCCGATCGAAAAAAACACTCGCACGTCCACACGTCCGACAAACCTTACAACTGTCGAGTGAACGGTTGCGACAAGTCCTACACTCATCCCTCATCCCTCAGGAAACACATGAAAGTCCACGGGATGAGCGGCCGGTCGCCTCCTCACTACGATTCCGACGGTGAGGAAAGTAATACTTCCAGCACGGGGTCGATATCGGTAGCGGTGAGTCCTCACACTCACATGCAAAATAGTGCGAGTGCGGGGTTGCAAGTTGTACCAGGAACTACGTCGATTAGTGATTGGTATACAGGGTGTCAACCTGCGGGACCGAATAGTCATACGGACCCTTTGAATGGATTAGGTGGTCCTTTTAGTGGGTTGCATCATGGGGTGACGACGGCGTATTAGTGATTAAAAATTTTCTGTGAAATTGGAGAAATAACTTATTGATATTTTTCCAAGCTTAAAAATTGTATTTAAGGCTTCTTGTGTATTATATTTGTTAAAAAATATTTTTGACTGTGAATATTAGATAAATAAATAATTATTGTGTATATTTATAAATATTTAATTTTTTAATAAATAAATTTTTAATGAGCGTTCCTTCGTGCAATTTTAACTATTAAATTAATGCTTATTTTAATTATCCTCATTATGAAAGGTTTGTGACATTTGTGGTTTCAATCGTAAAAAATTTATTTAAATAATGCCAATTATTAATGTAAATTCATAATTAACCGAAATGGCGGACCTTAAAAATATATACATACGAATCAAGTTTTAAGGGAATAAATATTGTAAAAACAAATTTTTATTGTAAATAAAGCTGTCACTATTCAGGGATCTCTTTGTATATTTCTGTCGAACTTCGCAAAGTTTACTATAAATAAAAAATAAATAAAAATTGACTGATGTACTTTTCGGCGTGTTTTATTTAGCCTTCCTGGCTTGTTGGTGGAATAATAAACAGGATATACGGGAATTTTTAGGATGGATTTAGGAAACCATGCACCTATAATTTCTATCTAAATATAAGTCAGGATGACAACATTTTTAATAAAAATCAACATAAGTTCAAAAAGATTATTTTTCTGAAGCTTTAAAGTGTTTTTCAAAATGGGTGTTTAATTTTCAGACCTTCTTTGTTCATGTTGTTTTGAATTTGACAGTTGCATAGGTACTCAAGAAAACTGTTGAATTTTCAGAAAGAATAGAGAAAAAAGAAAAAAAAGACAGCAATTTGGGATAATCATGACAATCGTGTATTGGTCCTTATATCAAAGTCCTCAACATGGTAAAAAAGAATAAATTTAACCTTCTCTATCGATTGGTATAGTAGAAATTGAGAAAATTCGAAAATAACACATTTTGATTCTTTGTCATCATCTTTTTCTAAAGGTTCCTGCTTTGAATTTTTATTTTCAAATCTCTAAACCTCCATATCTGGTTACCCATGGAAGGCATCAACTGTGATTCCATTTTCGAAAGTTGCAAATACAAATCGTTATATTCTGAGTTCAGACTAATCAATACTGTAGGTACCTGTTTATGGAAAACTTTTGGAAGTGGTGGTTAAAGAGCCAGCATCAGGACTATTGTGATAATAACGACATGTTATTGGTGGCGGAGCAATCAGGTTTTCGGCAAAGTCACTCTTGTGAATTTATGATAGTCAATATATATTACTATTTCCTCAAAGCTATGGTTAGGTTAGGTTAGGAGGCCTATTGGCCCATTGTGTTTCCTTCTCCAGGATGGTTCCCACTCAAATGTTTACTTAACCTGTTCCTTCTTTCTTCATTTTTTGCCAGTGCCAATGCATGGTTCTTACAAAATTGAGTATTTCCATTATTCCTCTTTCTCACGTCTTCCAAATCCTCCATTAAACATTACCCCAGATGATGTAGGCCTTCCTCCTGCAGGGATTGGCAGTGACAGTGATATAGTAAGTGCTCTAAGTAGGTGCTCTATTATTTCATCTTCCTCAAAGCATTCCTGACATATCCCCACCTATGAAACATTGTTCTGACTCCATAGTGTCCTGTGATTGCCCTTACTATGCTTCGTTTGAAAGTTCAGGTATGTCATATTTTTGGATCGGTTTGCCTGGTTGTTTATCAATCTTTTATCCAATTTTGATAGTTTCCTGATTTTATCCTAATCCAAGTACGGCCGCAGAGATCGTGATGTTACTTATACGCAGTCATTGCCATTGTTCCAGTTTTGTCTATCAAATCCATCAATAGTTTTAACGTTAATGTTTCAGCTTGGTCCTTTTACATTTCCAGTTTTGCCAGTTTATTTCCCTTCGATATTGTCCAGGAGCCAACAAGTTACTGTCCTGATCCAGGACAGCGCTTCCCGGCAGCTCATCACTTTCTTTGATTTCACTTTAATTTGATTCTAGTAGTCTTAGCGCTACTTTGTTATCTACATTAATGGTGACTCTTCCCATCGGATTATCCTCCCTTAGCAATAGCCTTGCTGCTTTTTCAATAGCAATTACTTCAGCATACATGATGCTGCAATGATTCCTGAGTTTGTATGACTCTTGAATGTTTAGTAATTCTGGGTATACTCCGGCTCCTATGCCGGTTTTTGTTTTTGAATCTGTGGAGTCTGTTATTTCATTTTTTCTCTGTATAGAGGTTTCGTCTCAATCTTCTCTTAAAGGCATAGTAGTTCGTTGTATTATCAAGTATCCATAAAGGGATGCTATTTCTAGTACAATTGTACTAGATCTAGCACTATCACGTTCCACCTAGTACGTTAGTACCTCTCTCATAAATCTAGTACAATTTGGATTACCAGTCGAGTTTCGCTCTCAGTGTTGCCAGATGGATTTTTTCGCCGATAGTAGATTGGGATAAAAACAAACAGTAGTACATCTGCTTGCTTAATGGCCGTTTCCACCAATTATTTTAGGGGAGCTTTAACGATAAGTATTCCCCAAACTGACATTTCTTCATGTAAAAATGTCATTTTAGGGAATACTTATCGATAAGGCTCCCCTAAAATAGTTGGTGGAAACGGCCTTAAACAGTAGATTTTTAGTTAATTACTTTTTTGCGTAATATTTGAAATATACAACAAAAATAGCTAATTTATGAATGTGAAAATATATAACAATCAAAAAATTAAACAACTTCCGCAGAGATCTGTGACGTCACCGCTCAGACATGTACATTACTACTGCAGGATAGCCTATCCTCATAAGGCTTGTGTAAAACAAATCCTCCCTCCTCCCCCCCGCCACTCCAAAACACAGTTATGACGTAGACAGACTGTTATATCTCGCCTTTTCTAGCCTGTTTAAACAGCCGACGACTTAGTTAACGTCGGAAATAGTGACACACCAATATGGCGGCGACTACCAAAAACGAGGCCGATAATCAATCCATGTAGATGTGTATCATTCTTGGGGTTAGAGGAGTTAGAGCACGTTCGTTTTGCTAACCGCGTGTACTCGAAGTGCACGAAGTCGGCAACGAAAACTACAAATTATTGCTAAAAAGTAAAAAACTCGTCCAAAAATAATTGAACAATTTTGTATTCTCCTAAAAACAGTAGTTTTAGAAGTTAAAACAGCAGAACAGTAGATCAAGGATGAAAACAGTAGATCTACTACGAAAACAGTAGATCTGGCAGCACTGGTTGCTCTTCACTCTGTACCGTACCCGAGTTCTGAGCTCTACTCTTCTCTCTACTTGTCCGTTCCGCAGTAAAAACCCTCTTTGCAGCTTCCCAGTCCTCCTTCTTCAGTTTAATGGTGTCGACTACCGTGGTTATTTCTACTGAAACGCTACCTGGAAAGTGCGTTTGAAGTAATAGGATGGCCTGCTTCTCTTCTCCTTTCGTGTAGGTGCCGTCCGGCTTTTTGAGGGCCATCACTGGATTTGTTCCTCCTGCCAGTTTCCGTAACTTTTTGCTGTATTGAAAAGATGACGGATTTGAAATTTCAGTTTTGACAGGTATCTGTTCCACCATGGTGCATCTTTTTTGGATCTCGCTGTAGTCACTGGGCAACTGGATTCAAAGGCTTCCATAATTGCCTTTGTGACTTCCTTAGTGTCCTGCTCCAGGTCCATGTGTTAGTCTTATATTCTTATAAGGTGTGCCCAATTCTGCCATTGTCTCCCAGATCTTAACTCTTTTCACACTATCATAGACCTGTTGGAAATCTATAAACAGTTGGTGTATTTGAATTTCCAGCTTTTTTCTAGTAGCTGTGTAATTGTAAACGGTTGGTTGTTGATCGGTTTGTCGCACACTGATCTCCTTTGTGAATGGGGTTATTCCCGATAGGATTATATTTGATAGAACTTTGTATGCTACGTTTATGAGCGATACCTATTCCTCTATAATTTTTGCATATCATTAGGTCTCCTTTTTTGTACAAGGGGATTATTAGGCTTTCTTTCCAGTCTTCTGAGATCTTCTCGTTTTCACAGATAGTTCTTATGAGTTCGTGTTCGTGTAGTTGGGATGTGGCTATGTTTCCTGCATGTTTCAAGAGTTCGGCGTTTATCGTGTCTTTACCCGAAGATTTATTGTTTTTCAAATTTTTCAAAGCTTTCTCAATTTCCATTCGAGATAGGTATTCTTCTCGCATTTCCGCAGTTTGGAAGCTGACCGGTTTTTCGTTGCTTGTATAATCCTTAGTTAAGTAGTTCTTCTCATGTTTACAGCGTTTGATTGATTTTACATTTGCCCCCCCCCCCCCGCCCCAACTCTGTAGAAGTATTGGTGCCAATGTCAGAGTGGAAGAACATTATGTTGTTACAATTCAAAAAACTCAAAATTCTTAAGATTAGAGTTTCTTAGTTTCTTCTTTGTTTGGCTTTTCCGATTGGTTTGGTCTGTTGTAGTATGTAACGTGCTGGATTCTGTGTGTATCTGGTAGTAGTTGCCAACTTGCTCGTGGACAGTCGTATAGCTTACGGAAATAGTGACTTATGGGCTGTCCCACTGGTTGGTGGACAGTCATAATATGACTTAAGGACATAGTGGCTTATGGACTGTCCATTTGGTCTTGCCTGGTTACTAGATCTAACGTTGTCGTCCTTGATGATGTCGTTAGTTCTGGGTTTAAGCCTATTCATTCTTATGCATATTGTCTTATAGAATTCTCTGGTATTGCTCCTTCCATCGACTTCCAGCTCCTTATCAACGTCTCTTCTCAGAGTTGTCTGAATTTACTGTTCTTGCGTCTTCAGTAGGATCCAGCATCATTACAAATCTTGCATTATTTCTCTTTTTAAGTACCTACTCTTTCACATTCCAGATCGTACAGTAGTTTCAATTTTCGTTTCTTGGCTCTACTCCCACAGTCACACTTGCTGTCCCTTTCATTGCTTCGGATAGTGATAGTACTTTCCAACTCGTGTCGATGTCATCTGTTTGTAATTTCTTGGCTTCGGTGCTCTATTTCCGTCTTTTGATTTCTTCGTTTCCAGTTCTGCTGTATCCCGCTGTTGATCTTGTTCGGATTGTACATTTTTTGAGCTGGATATTCTGAATCTCAACTTTACTATAACAAGAAAATGGTCCGAGCCTGCGTCTGTCCCTCGTAAACTTCTTACATCCAAGCTCCTTATTCTTGAAATAGGGTAGCAGCGTTGCCAGGAGAACAAGTGTTCCGTCTTTGTTATACTTATACATATTACCATTTGCATATCATTGAGAAATACGTAACACTCGTTGTCCTGGGAATGTTGCTCCCCTGTTTCAAGAATAAGGACCCTGGACGTTACTTCCATGCCTTGCATCAATTATGACGTAATCAATTTTGTTTTTGGTTCTACTGGAGGCCCATGTCTCTTTATGTTTATACTTCGTAGATTTAATAAGGAGGTTGTTGGATACTGCTAGTCCCGAGAGTCTTAGCCCA